TGCCAGGAAGCAAGAAATGTATTATTATCATTATTACAATGATTATTTATTATTACTATTAAAATTTATATATCACTCTATACCCACAGGTCTCAGGGCGGTTCACAGGATAAAGGTGTATCATGGTTTTAGCAGAAGTCCTACAAGAAATCTGCTTGTGCAATGTTCCTACCAGTGGGGGGAGGGTGTGGGATCTGCTGTCTCCCCTTTTCATCAGCAGTTCATTCCCCATGAAGATCTGGTCAGAGGAACCATATGAATGATTCTTCAGCTCATGTGCTCCCTGCCACACTCCTCCAGCACAAATGTGAAAACAAATGCATCCTCTTTGATTTTTAGCAAACTGTTTTATTGCTACATCACAATGGAAATAACAAGCCTATATGGTTTCTGATCCCAATTTGTTCAGACAAACTATAATTAAAAATAACTGCAGTTCCTGGTCTAAATGGGGGGGGGGGACAGAAGCAGTGAAGGGGGGGAAGGTTCATGCTTATAAAGCTAAACTATGGTTTAGCATTATTTTGTCTGTATTTTCAGAATTGAATGAAATGTAAGGTAAAGGTAAAGGTACTCCTGACTATTAGGTCCAGTCGTGACCGACTCTGGGGTTGAGGCGTTCATCTCACTTTATTGGCCAAGGGAACTGGCATACAGCTTCTGGGTCATGTGGCCAGCATAACTAAGCCGCTTCTGGCGAACCAGAGCAGCGCACGGAAACGCCATTTACCTTTCCGCTGGAGTGGTACCTATTGATCTACTTGCACTTTGATGTGCTTTCGAACGGCTAGGTTGGCAGGAGCAGGGACCGAGCAATGGGAGCTCACCCCGTCGCGGGGATTTGAACCACCAACCTTCTGATCGGCAAGTCCTAGGCTCTGTGGTTTAACCCACAGCGCCACCCACATCCCATTGAATGAAATGTAGATGCATATAAATTGCACTCAGGAATGCTTTACATGTTCATAAATATGATTCATGCTGCATTTTCAATAACATCTATGAGACAGGAACAGGGTGAAGCTGGTACCAATAATCTTTGTCCAACTGGAACGTCTAGATTGTGTGTGCTTATGGCTATGGTTTGGGCAAATAGTGCAGCACTACTGTTAAGTAACTAGAGGAAGCACAAGCCAAGGCCATCATTTAATTAAGGTGTGCAAGCTCAACTTCAATTACTCTCACCAAAGATCCTCCCTGGAATGGCTGCTGTAAAGAGGAATTTCCTTGCAGTAACTAATATGTTTAATGAATCATGTGTGCGCATGCCTAATTAATCCTACGAACCGATTGCCACATCCAATACAGGAAATGCCTCTAATTCAGTCATTAATTATCCCTTACAAGTGACAGTTTCCCTTCAGTACATATATTCAGCCCTATTTGCAAGTAAGTGGCTTTTTTTACATGTCATGAGAAACCAAGCTCAGCTTTGCATGGGCATGAGGACACATCTTGAACATGATCCATTTGGTTAAGATGTCGGTGTGACTCTCTCTGCCATAACTTTGTGATGGAAAACTTAACTGCTGTGACTCATGATTCACAACAGTGAAACCACCTTTACAAATTCAGGGCATGTTACCACTCATTGATAAGGCACTTCTTTATCACAGAATTCCAGAGTTTGAAGGAACCCCAAAAGTCATCCAATCCCCTCCATAAATCAGTCCCGTATCTCGAAGCTGTTCAGCTTTTGGGACATGCCCAAAAGGCTGCTTCATGCTTCTTTTCTCAAGATGCTCCAACCCCCTGCCAAGTCATTGTGGGAGCTTTCTTCTCTTCTTGCCTAACTTTAGTTATTGGCTCTTCCTCGCACCTCATCCTCATATCCTTACCTCCAATCCGTATTTGTTATTTTCTTCAGAAAAAGTCTGGACACCTAATAGGAAGACATAAACTGGTATCTTTCCATAGATTAAGTTCTTCTGTTTTGTTTTGTTTTTTGTTTTCACAGTATGAGTTGGGTTCTCAGGAACCCAAAAGAAATACAAGATTTGACTTCTGGGTCGGTTTGCTTGCTGCCCCTTTATGATCACAGTTTCGACAGGTGGAAAGAAACCGTGGGCACCTATGAAAGCCTCTTAACCCAGCTGTAGTGTATCCAAACATTATAGTGAAAACCCATTCTTCTTCTCTGGATTAAAGAGAAATAAGCACAGTATGCCAGCCCTCTCACTTACCTCCAAATGCCTATGGGGCCTGTGGACTTTAAAACAATAAACTACTCAGTTTTGTCTTAAGCTGATTAAATAACAGTTTTAAAAATGATTGGATTCATATGTCTAATGTGCTTCGTAATGAGTGCTTCAAAGTGTAGTAAATATTATGCCTGTTTCTGGCTTGACTATTTTGACAAAAGGTGACCAAAATAAATTTAACCCCAACCCCAAGATAAAAACAAATTCTCACAAGTGAAGCAGTTTTGACTCCTATTTTTACCTGTTCAGATATAGTGGTACTCAAAAATATCTTGCTTACAATAAGTGGGCCAGAAGCATTAGTCCAAGTATCATATGTTGCTTGCAGTATTATGAAGTGGTTAAGACTCTCTTCTTTAAACTGGCATTCAAAAGCCTGTGTTAAGCACACATGGATTAAATCTGTATTTATATTTTTCAAGGCAATCCTACACATGTCAACTCAAAAGCAACTTGTATAAAGTTCAATGAGATTTACTCCCTGATCAGTGCATTTAGGACTGCACATGAAATTGTTTATTTCCCTTAGCACATTACCCTGTCTGGGCCTTTGGGAAATGGTAGGATTAAAAATGGCCCTAAAGCAGTAGGTCCCAGCATCTAATGCATGCATCTTTAATTGCTGGGGACTAGACTGTATTATTTTTTTGGTTTTGTACCTTGCCACAGAGAGGGTTTTTCTAAGAATTCTGAGACACTACTGAAATTCAATAGGATCCAGACCCCCTGGAACTCTTTTAGAACATGTAACAGCTGTCTTTCTCAGAGCACACTGGAGAAAGACATTCTTAAACTTCTATTCACAAGGAGAGACTGGGCTAAATGTTTCAGCTCAGGGACCAATTACTCAGCAGCAACATTTGTGGCAGAGGGTGAATCTCATACTGCTAAGTGTAGTTCCACTGCTTTCTCAACCAAAAACATAATTTCTACATGGCATTCTCTCTCTGTGTTCTCTGTCATTAGAACAGCAAATGAGACTTTTCATGGAAGCAATAAGAATCTACAAAAGACCTCAAAATTAAAAGAGGAAGTTGAAAATATATTGCAAGAGAGTATTGGTCAACACACACTTAGACTGAGCTTATATACAACACTGCATCATTGATTTTTCTTTGAACAACCACAAAAATCAATGTTGCGAAATATGTGCTTCTGTGTTATCTTGGTAATAAACAGATTTTTGTGTGAAAGTGAGAAGAATATGACTTCAGAATTCATCAGCCTGTTATGAAATGTGTTGAACAAAACTATAGAAAAATGGATTATTCCACTTTAGGATTGATGTAATATAATTGTTTTGAGAAATCTATACAGCACCTAGAAGACCAGACATTGCGTTGAAAAGTGCTTTAGTATCTGAAATATGTTCTCAGTTACGGCATCATCCCAAGCCATTACTTGAGGAAAACCACTGGCTGCACAGGTGGTGTCATCAGGAAAGATTTGGCTTCTTGGATCATGATCTCTGCTTCCTTGAGGTAGGACTTCTGGCGAGAGATGGGCTGCACCTCACAGCATTTGGCAAGAATGTGTTTGCCAAGAGTCTTGAGAATCTTTAAACTAGATCTTGAGTAGGAGGGATAAAACAATATGAATGACAAAAGAGCAGCTGGCACTGGGGATAATAGCTTCACTGATGCACTGAAAACTGAGGTGGTGCTCCAGAAACCTGCTAAAGGGCAAAAACTACAGGAAGGAAGCAGTTGCAGGGAACAACTCGTAGTTTCAGTTGTCTCTACACAAATGCACAGAGTATGGAAAACAAACAAGATGAACTGGAGCTTTTAACATAGGATGGCAAATACGACCTAGCTGGCATTACTGAAATATGGTGGGATGAGACTCATGACTGGAATGAAGGAACTGAAGGGCACAACCTGCTCAAAAGGAATAGACCAAACAGAAAGGGAGGAGTAGCATTGTATATAAAGGATGTGTACACTTGTGAAATCCATGACCTGGAGCATGAAAAGAAGATTGAGAGTATATGGGTAAAAAATGTAGGAGACAGAAAGAACAGTGACCTTACTGTGGGTGTCTGCTACAGACCACCAAGCCAGACTGAAGACTTGGATGATGCCTTACTAGAGCAGATAAGCAAACTTTCAAAAAGGAGAGAAATCGTAATCATGTGGGACTTCAACTTCCCCAATATCTGCTGGGACTCAAACTCTGCCAAGAGTGCAAGGTCTGACAAATTCTTCCATTGCATCGCTGACAATTTAAACAGAGGTTGGATGGCCATCTGTCATGGATGCTTCAGCTGAGATTCCTGCATTGCAGGGGTTGGACTAGATGACCCTTGGGGTCCCTTCCAACTCGATTCTATGCTCATGTAATTGAATTAGCTTGACCCTTGTATTCTAACTTTGGTTTATGGGGTTCATATCTTGTACATCCCTGGTAAATGAAGCAGATAATGGGGGACAGTGCAGCGCAAGGGTCTTTGCCAGATGATTCCCACTGCAGCAGGATTCTCAGCTGAAAGGCACTCAGAATGCCTTTAAAGTATGATGGATGCTTATCTTTCCATTAACCCAGTAGGAATTGAGGCTTTTCAAACATTCCATTCAAACATCATGTTCATTTTTATGAGGCCATGCTATTCTAAGAGCCCAGTTTATACATAAAACTATACCAAACTATGGGTTAGCAAAAACACATCAGTGTGAAAGTTCTGACAAGAGTTTGCAGCTGCCATTTTATCCAAACTCAGGCTTGTAGTTTTGTCTCCTGCAGCAAATCATGAGCTGCAAACCTAATAAATTGAAAACACACAACAAATCTCTAGATATAATAAATGGTTTATCCCTTCAGAAACCCAGAGGAACCATGGGGACCCAGGGAAGCTTCCCACTGATTCTGATTGTTCCTCTGGGTTTCTGAAGGGATAAACCACTTATTATATCCAGAGATTTGTTGTGTGTTTTTATTTTGTTGTTTGGTTTATAGGAATTATTTGTCAGTTTATTAAAGACTAATCCTAAACACACTTATTTAGATGTAAATCCCCTTGAAATGAACAGGACATACTTTGAGGCTCAGACACATCCTTTCTGTCATTAGACCCTCTGACAGAGATCACACTGAAAATTTTGGTACCTATCACCTAGACTTAGAATGTACAGGAGCGGTAAATTTTATTTAATTCAATAATGCTGTTTAAACTACAATAAATTAACCTTTATTATATATTTATTATTAACTATATTTTATTGCTGTGATTTTATTATACATTATCTTTTTATAGCATTTATGTTCTCTGGGCAGATCATAAATTTAAATAAATAAAATACCAATTAAATCAAGGCAAAAACTGCACCAGAACAGAAATTAGCATAAAACTAGCATGAAACCACATGAGGCAGCATAAGATCAATAAAACAGAAGCTTTTAAATTGCTTTAAGCTGCTTTGGAGGGATTGTTGAATGGCATAGTAGACAATTTAAAAACAAAAACTAGAACTGGAAGTTTACTCGCATTCAGCTTGTTACAGAATGAGTAAAGCATGCCTTTGGATAAGTGCACATTTAGGCTGCGACAAAGAGACAGTTTCCAGAAATGATAAATGGCTGGCTGTGGAACAGCTAGTCATGGAGCTTATTAAAGGGGAGGTAACCCTGGACCTAATCCCAGGTGGTGCCTAGCATATGGTATGCGATCAGGGCTGTAGCCAGATCAAGGTCAGGAGTGTGCTGCCCCACCTAGAGAACTGGTGTACCCTACCTATGATTTTTAAAAAGAAGTCTTTTATGTTGTTCCACTACAGTTTTCATTTAAGGAATGAAAGCCTGCTATGAAAAGAAAAAGCTGGTTGCAAGTTTGCTAGTATGTCCCATTCCCCCGCCCCATCACATCACCTACCCAAAACATGCAAATTGATGATAAAACCAGCAAAAAGAAAGAGATCTGAAAATAATGCTGAAAAACATTAAACATAAATTTCTTGAAATGCACAAAAAGCAAGGGGGACAGCAGCACCTGACACCCCCAACTCTTAAATTTGAAGACAGTCCTCCTGATCAGAAACAGAAAGTAATCTAGGGAAGCTGGCAGGTCATTTAGACAATGAACAAGCAAAGGAGGAGGGGGTAATTTGCAGGCAAGAACGAATTACTTCCATTAGCTGTTGGACAGATACCCATGCCTGAATGGCTGGGAAAAGAGAGCAAGTCAGATTGTGATAAAAAGAGCTGAGATGAATATTAATGTAATAGTAATTTTTTAAAAAAAGAATATTACATACTTGTAAGACTAACATCTGTTCCAGAGAAATTGATGGAAAGCATTATTGAAACTTCCAAAGTAGTAGCAGTGTCAGTCTGTTGCTGTAAAGACAGCAAAGGATCAAATTAGACATGTCTTTAACCATGTCCTTGCATCTCAAGCTTCAATTTTTCCTTCTTTTTTAACTTTCCTCCTATGCTATTTTACCTCTTCTATGCTCCCTTTCTCTCCCCCTCCCCCCTTTATTGAACAGCAGCTTTGGCGCCATGTAACAGCTTCAGGAGGAGTAATTTCCACAAAGGAAAGAACTTAGCTAATTCACACTGTCTGAAAAAGTATGCAAACAGAAGCACAGATATCCTTTGAAATTGTCACTTCTCCAAATTTTGCAGTTCTACGGCCAAGTAATGTATTCAAAAATGCATAAACTGGGGTTAAAGTCTGCATACAAATGCATGTATTAGTGAAAATAATAAGCAAAAGTAAATTATATTAAGAAACTTACATTTTAGGAGAAATATGCTATTGTTTTTGCGGCTTATGTCTGAAGGAGACAAACTACAAGCCTGGGTCTAGAAGACACACAAAGCCAAATCACTGCTCAATTCACAGGAGTGCAGCAGCAGCAGACCAGAGGAAGAATGAAGAGGCCATGATCTATCTCCTCAAGGGAACTCACACATTTGCACTAACCATGGTTTGGCTTCATGCTACATGTGAATTAAGTTAATTTATTAAGTAAGTAAATAAAGGAAGTTTCACATACATGTTCATGATATATTCAAATGTCAAAAGGTGCAGCTATAAGTCTGAGAGGGCCTCAAATTCATCTAAATCCAAAGCCTTTCAGGTGAGGCAAATTGTTTTATATCAACATACCCCAATAATGGAATAGCAAAAGGAAACATGAGCTAAAAAAACCCCTATACCTAAAACCAAGTAGCATTCTGTGCTGTGGAAACACATCTATTAATTCATTCTCTTTTTTTATAAAAAGAAAGAAAGGTAATTCAGAACTGTTTGCTATACCTTTGGATTCTAAAAATAATATTTGATATTTGTTCTTCCTTTCAATGCAGTGACAAGAAGATAACTCAGCCTTTCATTTGCTTTCTTTTTCAGATGATAGGATTGATGCTGCCCACACCACAATATTTTTTTTAAAAAAGGAAGCCCACCCATCTATGAGAGAAAAAGCTTTTCAGTTTTTGCAGAGAACGTAAATCAAGCTGTCACAAGCTGCCTTAATTTATTTGTACAGCAGAATTATAATACAGCAGAAAACAGCTTACTGTAATGTAAATAAAGACTTGCATGCACTGCTAACAGGACAAGTTTATTTAATATAATATATTGCACTAACTCATCATTGCTACCTTTCAGTTTGTACTTCTATGGTAACGAACAGTTATAACAAACAGAACCCTTGTGTAGAAATCCAATATGCATTCAGCAAGCACCCAGTTGTGGTGTTTTATTTCTACTAAAAACAATTCAATACTATTTCCTATGTTACTTTATAAGCTATTTTAAATCAAACTTTTCCTTTTTAAATCCCACACTTTAACAGTGAATTACTATCAATGTTTACTCAGAAGTTAACTCCCATAGTATCCGATGGGGTGAACTCCCTGGTAAAACTAGGCTCAGTATGGAATCTTAAATATCTAAGTTCATGCAAAATTAGTTTGCATATGCCTGTTTTCACAATATATAGTCTACAAATTAATGTATTAGGGAGTGGAGGGTATAAAATCAAGCAATCCTCTTCTGTACTTCAAAGGCTACAAGACTGAGCACCTGTTTACTATACATCAGTTTTAGCAATGGGCTAGCAGAGACAGAGACATTACCTTGCCAACAAAGGTCCGTATAGTTAAAGCTATGGTTTTCCCAGTAGTGATGTATGGAAGTGACAGCTGGACCATAAAGAAGGCTGATCGCCGAAGAATTGATGCTTTAGAATTATGGTGCTGGAGGAGACTCTTGAAAGTCCCATGGACTGCAAGAAGATCAAACCTATCCATTCATAAGGAAATCAGCCCTGAATGCTCACTGGAAGGACAGATCCTGAAGCTGAGGCTCCAATACTTTGGCCATCTCATGAGAAGGGGGAGAAATGTTGCATGGGGGGAAATGTTGAATCATTCTGTTCAGCAAGGAACTCTCAGTGCCTTTCTAGATGACTAGTCTGCAACAAGCGTCTCCTGCCTTGAATTTGTTAAGGGCCATCCCTACCCTTAAGCAGAGTGAGACTGTGTGTCCTTACCAGCTCATGTTTTTAAAAGTCACTTAAGTTCCCTAATAAACTTTAGAAAATTAATTAACATACCAGAAAGGCTTTACAATAGGTACAATAGGCTATAGTGTGAAGGAGACAGGAAAGCCCTGTTTAAGCAGAACTCTCCTTATGAGTCTTTCAGTCAGTGCCAATGCTTTTCAAACGCAATTATTTTCAAGTCAATTTCGACATCTGATTAATGTTTTCTATATTTAGAGTGATCACAATACATGATCACTGGCCCATGAACTTTGGTTTGCAAGAACAATGTTGGATGCCAAACATACAGGGAAATGATTGAAAATTTGCTATTGGTTCTCCAGATTGTGATAGGACACCAGTGTGACACTGAGTGTTGCGTGTGCATAAACATTTTTACCTTGTGTAAAATGTTCCTGCCCCCTTCCGGCAAGTTTTTGCACTCCATGGTAAAAGGGTGACAAATTGTTTGTAACACAGCAAAAGCTCATGAATTCAGCAAATGCATCCCTACTGCTGAAATGAAAAGGCCAATGGTCCCTCAGGTTCGGAGAGGCATCCAAAAGCACAGCCCATTAAAAGTAATGAGATGCACAGGAACAATATCCGCATGCAAATGTTGTTCTGGCTTCAACAAAGATGCATATTTACATGTCCATCCCAGTTGTCTCAGAAATTGAGATCCCTCCCTCCACCTCTCTTACCACAGACAACAGATGAGAGCTACAAACGGGCATGATGGAAAGTTGACAGATTTTCCGCCAACAACTTCAAACACAAAAAGTAATTGCAACTTTTGCAGCACAAAAATAAAGCAGGAAAGAATACACACACACATTTTATATATATATGGGCAGAGGAAATGTGATAATAGAATAAGATACATAGTAAGACAGTAAGAGATTGTAACTGAAAAACTGAGCCACATTACTTGTTATCTGTACATTTTTATTTATTTATAAATGTCCCTGAAGAGTGGCTGGGGCAGTCAGATGAGTGGGGTACAAATAAAATATTATTATTATTATTATTCTGAAATACGTTGGGCTTGAATTAAACCTTTTGGCAGGTACTTGATGTGTTCTCCTCTCTTCCTGGTACCTTTTGCAGCACAGTTTGAACATCGCAAATATTTGGCGCATCACAAGTGGTACTGAACACTAAGTTATTAATCTTACAGATACTTAAGAAAAACGCAGATAATTTGTGAGCTTGACCATTTAGGCTGCAATCCTAATGATGTCTACTCAAAGGTAAATTCTATTTAATTCAGTGCCGCTTACTTCCAGGTAAATGGGGTTAGTTGCAGAGCCCCAGACTCTTAACTGTTTTGATTTGGGATGTCAGTGCTAAAGCTGGTGGATTAGTCCTTGTTATTTAGAGTTGCAATGCTTAATGGTTAGCATGCTACAAG